CTGCACGGCGATCTATAGCCTGGGCGGGCGGCAACCGACAATACCTGGGAACGAGCGCGGCGGGACCATATTGTTACATTTTTAGGGCCGTAGATTTTGACCATATGCTTAAAACACCTAAAACTGTATACTATGTACTAGCAATTTGACAAATAACACTCTTGTTTAGGTTTTGTATCGCTGTTAAGTATGGTATCGTAGATATGAACATGTAAAACTGAAAAAGTGCGATTTTTTGGAAGACTTACCATTGATCTGGGGTGGTGGGGTTATTACCAAGCGTGAAATCTCGTTGAAACGAACCCACTGGTGTTCTCCACCCGGCTCTCCGTTCGTTACCTTGTAAACAGCAGGGAGGTCGAACCCCCCCCCCCCCCCCCTTCCCCATCGGTCCGTAATTTGAAAAGCGACGAGTTGGGGCGAGGGTAAATGGACCGGGGTAGGCCGTACACATCATCCAAGAGTGGCCCAGAGTTCCCCGGGCTCTCCGAGTGCCGAACACAAACCCTGAACAGGTGCCCCTGTACGGGCCTTGCATCAGTGGATGGAAATGCAGCTGCGTTTGGTTCTGCCCCATCGTTGTCCACTCCCCTTTATCTCATAGCTCTGGGACGTTCATTGCTTGCCGGAAGGGTTCTAATCCACGCAACTTAAACAACCCGAACAGTTGCTCTCTGTTGAAACTGTAGGGTGAGATCCATCTGTTTCTTGGCTGCGGTCAGGACAGCACGCAGAGTTTCACAAGCGAAATGTTCGACCTTGAAGCAGCAACAATGTTTTCTAGTCTATCATTTTTGTCAGCACACCCAAGAGGCGTACGGACCTAGTGACCTCGGGGTCACGAGCCCGCGAAGGCCAGCGTACTAGTTGTGCTGTCGGAGCGTGAGCAGCAGCTGTGTTGTGACACTATGTATACCAGGTCCTGTCCTAGACCCTCTTCTGCTTCACACATAACATGGGCGTAACGGCTGAGTGGTTAGCTCGTCGGATTCCCTCGTGGGGGGCCGCCAGGGCCCATGAGCGCTAATATGGCCAATGCAGGTGCTTGCACTCCATAAAATGGACGTGGTGACGTAAATCGCGTTGCCTTTTAATAATAGAAGATGTAACACGGCTCGCCGACTCGTGCCTCAGAGACAGACTGATCGGACGCGTCTGCACACCGACCGCTGCCCCGGGACAGGTTGATCGGACGCGTCCGCACACCGACCGCTGCCCCGGGACAGATCGATCGGACGCGTCTGCACACCGACCGCTGCCCCGGGACAGGTTGATCGGACGCGTCTGCACACCGACCGCTGCCCCGGGACAGGTTGATCGGACGCGTCTGCACACCGACCGCTGCCTCCGGGACAGATTGATCGGACGCGTCTGCACACCGACCGCTGCCCCGGGACAGATTGATCGGACGCGTCCGCACACTGGCCGCTGCCCGGGACAGGTCGATCGGACGCGTCCGCACACCGACCGCTGTCCCGGGACAGGTCGATCGGACGCGTCTGCACACCGACCGCTGCCCCGGGACAAGTTGATCGGACGCGTCTGCACACCGGCCGCTGCCCCGGGACAGGTTGATCGGACGCGTCTGCATGTAAAGGTCCGATCTTTAGACGCGATCGGGGCTCCGATGTGACCCGAACGATAACAGCAGTTGGACACGAGTGATAAAACTTCAGGCACGAACGATTATATTGTATCTTAATCAGTTTAAGTGTGAGAATCTCTGGTGTCATAGTGTTATCTTTTTGCAGCGTTTATCACTCAAAGTGAGCCATGAGCATAGCAAAGGTCAAGTTATGTCTCATGTTTACCTTGTCCTTTCACAGCGTGGTGAACACATTACGTGCTACATGAACACAATCAATAGTGCGGTTATAATGAGCACACAGTGAGGGGTAAGTTATACCAATGATGTTCATCCAGGTGACTCGTCTTTTTATCATAGACTCGTGCTATGGCTATGGAAAAAGAAGTGAATTACCAAACGTGAAAAACTGTTGCCTGGCTTTTTAAAAAAAATTCTTAAATAGTAGATGGAGTTTGGATGCTGATCACGAGGGTGCATATCATTTTGAGCCACATTAAAAAAATAACGCCAGGAGATCTCGAGGTCTACGAAGTTCAAGGTAGTTAAAATTAGACCCCCACGACTTCTTCAAGCCCATGTAAATGGTAATGCTTGACATGCTTATTACATTTGGCCATCTTGTTGCTCGTTGCATTTAAAGCTGTGACCGACAGGTCTCCAATGCCTAAGGTTGATCAGGACGCAGGGGTACAGGTCACTGAACGTGTACCCTCACCATTCATCTGAAACTTGTATCAATGGTAGATTTTACCTTTTGAGTACTATGGCGTAACTTGTTATTTGAATGTCACTGATTGTCGATTAGGGAATTGTTCGTAGTGATCTCCTCGTTCAAAGCAACGACACACATCACTTCCCGTCACTTTGAAAGTTATTGGTTGTAAAGGCCATACAAATATATTGCTTGCGGACACGCACAATTTTTTCCCCAACCTTTGTTTCCATCGGTCTTTGGAATTCTCGCGACAAAGGAACGTGTTGTTTACCAACACTTCTAAATTCACGAACTGCACAGATGTAGGTCATGGCAGCCACCGGTAAACTGCCGCATTCATCTTCATATTTATTACAATCGAGCACTGACCCCTACAATTTTTCTCAAGTGCAATCATGATCACTTTGATTTGTAATAGCGCTTCGGCCGATGTGACGATTTCGCTCTGTGCTGTTGTGTCGACGGGTAAAATGAAACAATAGAGAGGGGACACGCTCAGCAGACCGCCACTAGCCCGATGCGGTGACTGCCAAACCTATTTAGCTAATATATTATAAGCTATGCTAACGTGGTCTACTTTCCTGTCAGGAAAGTAGACCACGTTAAAAGGAGTGTTCCACTTTTGGAGCATATTTCAAAAACATCCTCTGTTGAAACCTCAGGACTAGTTGCGTATAATAATAGCTCTGGGTTGTAGCACTGCGGTACCGTCAAGACACATTACGGATATAAATTTTTATGATTTTCGAGTCCCAATTACATTGTAAATGTGTTTTGTAGCAGAACTATCCTTCCCTGCAGTCGTGACCAACGCCGTCATGACAATCACCATGCGCACCTCTACCGAAAAGAACTTTTGTTCTTTTCGTGAGGGGACACCTCTACCACCTCACGCACCTCTACCGAAAAGAACTTTTGTTCTTTTCGGTAGAGGTGCGCTAAACGTGCCCGCTGACATTTTTGTGCAGCGTGCAAGGGTCTGTTACCGAGGAGCACATTGGTTGCAGTTTGAACAAGTGCGTCGCGGGGATTATGTGATACTCACGTTCCCAAAGCCAACGGGCGCTCCGAAAAGAGCCACTGTCGTAAACGCCATAGTAAGAAATAAAAAAAAACATAGCATAACGCTTTACTGAGTTTGTGAGATAATATTTTCCTGTTCGCATATCGGTTTGGCTGAACAATTTTTCAAACTTCCGAATATTGCACGAACATCTTGACAAATTAATGTGTTCCAAACATTGCAGGACACACATTGGAAAAAGCGTAGCAAGCAAAATATATTGCTTTCATATTGGTGAGCAGGGAGTCAAATGAGATTTCTCCTGTATGGCTACTTCAAGCAGAAATTTTGAACTATTCAGAAGGATTTCGAGAAAGCTGGCATAACTTATCAAATCATACGCATCCGATGTAACAATAGGTAAAAAATACAAAAAGGTGGGATGTTTCATTTGCGTCCAACCGCAGCTTAGAGTTTCGTCATGACAGAACGTTCAAACTCGGAAAGTAACCTATCAGCGGCATCAGTGTCGTCCAACCGCAGCTTAGAGCTTCGTAATGACAGAACGTCCAAACTCGGAATGTAACCTATCAGCGGCATCAGTGTCGCGTGATGTCCGAGGAATCTCTGTCTCTGAGAGCTGAATAATGTGCAGTCAACAAGCGTGTGTTTTGCAGTCAACATGTGTCCACACCGTTCACATGTGGGGACATCCGCTGTGCCGTTCAGTCAGGATCTGTGGATGCCCCACATGTGACCAATGCGGAGACAGGTCGGAATGAGTTTGCCTTTTTTGACCTTCCGGAAAGACAACTCTCAGTCCCCTATCTTGAATTTGATGGCTTTCAACTTGTTTCTTCTGCGTTCCTCGCCCCACAGCTTTTGCCAGTCAGTCAGGATATAGCTCCCTGTAATAGCGTGGAGGTCACTGTCGGGAGACCGATCGTTCTCATTTGGGGAAGGCAGTGCTGCAGCCTGCATTGCCCGATCAGGCGATCATTGCCAGCCAGACCGGACCTGGCGAGCCCTGGTTTAACCGTCAGAGGCTACATGCACCGATGTTCCATGTCACTTATTTTTGTAACGTTGCAAACGTTATCCGAAACCTATTTCCACTCAACTTAAGTGTGCTCAGCTTTCAAGATAACATTAGTATCTTATTATGGTGCTTCGTTTGACAAAGGCGAGACAAACTTAACATCGGTCATCCAAGGTCTCATACGGGGCACATACCATCTCCTGCGTGCCTTACGGTCCTTCTTTTCATTCGGTGGAATATTCTGTTTCGGTGTCGGAACAGCGGGACGGAGTACTGCATGTTTAAGGGTTTCTTTCCAATCTGGCATCGTCCTGCCAAGAGGGTCGCAATCTTGGCACAATATTAACCGACATGGGCATATTTGCTCGTTACTACAAAGGCAATCTGCGAGATGACTCCTAGAATAGTTTGTTAACGGAAAATTTAAACAGTAAACATGCCCGATTATGATGTTATTTATTTACAATGTTAATTGAAAGAACGTACAAGAAATTCCGCAGCCAAGAACGATACAATATTTCTTTATGATGTATTACGTCACTTATCCTAAGTGATAAGGACTACCACTAAACCCGACCAAACCAGTATTCGTCTCATGTGCGGCATAGACCAATATTGATGTTTATTTTGATCCGATTTCCAGTTGGACGTGCAAATGTATGGGGGTGGGAGTTGCGTGGGTCAATGATCATTTTGTTTGGCTTTTAAGCGCCTGTAAAGAGAGGGGAGCTGAGAAAGCTGTCTGAAGCGGGGTAAGAAAACCTTGATGCCAGCGTAGGAATTACAATGTCACTGAGAGGACTGGTTAGAATGGATTGCTGCCTCAAGATGGTGTTCATTGCTTGGATTGACGAATCTCGCATTAGTTGTACATTGTTGCATTGAAGAAATAAAACAATGCATTAATTACTTGTTGGGGAGCTTCCTGCACTGTTGAAATGCAACCATACATTGAATAGTAAAAGCCAAAATAAATACAACCAAATACATAGTATTTGGTGGCAGGCACATCCAGGGCCCACCATGGTGATTGGTTAAATGTTGGTTGATATGCGGTATGTGCAATATGACAATAAATATTATTTGCAATGGTTCCACGATTCAGAATTGATCACTGAAAAAACACGGAAGTGCACCCCATTTGCATATTTTTGTTATAGGACATATTTTCTCTATGAGGCCAGATTTTAATATATTTGTTAAAGAAAATCAATGCAGCAGACCAAATATGCTGACAATTATAGTTATGCAGTTCTGTTATGTCTGCAATATGGAATAATAATTGCATGAAAATAACATGATTTAAACTGTTCACCTGCAATCAGAAGTGGTTACCATGCTCATCTTAAAATCAGGGCAGAGGCTAGGGTCATTTGGCAGAGGGAAATTTGTTTGACAAAGTTATCTTTGATAGTCATCTATTAAGATTGTTCAGTTACATTTAGCAGGTCTAAAAATTATCCCCTTGTTTCAGCTCTCATGCTCTGTGCACATCCAATGGTTGCACCTATGTATGGCATAGAAAGATACTCAGTTTTGGCTTTGCTTTGAAAGTTATCTGTTTTTCATCCTCTGTATGGATAATTTACTGTAGCAATTCTCACAGATACCTATTTGCACTAATTCTTGGTGCTGGCATTGACAAATTTTCAAACACTTTAGATAATTGTCTGAAATTATCTGCTGGCCGAGCATGTGTATGACGTGAATGTGTGTTTGAGGTTATGTCTTTCTAATGATCTGTGACATTACTGGGAAATGAAACTAGATGGCTATGCAAGTGATGTAACATAACATAACATTATCTTATGCAGCCTAATTTAAATTGGCCCTAAACCACAAATCCTATGACATGTATGTCCTTCCTAGGTGCTAGAATGGATTGATGCTTACAGTAACCTTGTTCTTTTCTCAGTTGAGCCTGGGTGTGAAATGAGTAAAATGTAACTACTGTATTAAGGATACAATTGCAGCATACCTCTTCATGCCTCAGACAAAAGTACGGAGATGTGCATCCTAGATAAGCTAATGATGAGTAAAACAGCCGGCTGAGTAGGTCTCAGTGTCAACAACTAAATCTAGTATCTTTGGAAGCCTGGCCTGGTTGTTTAATCATGTCTAATCATGCACCCATTACTGAGCATTTTTAGGGATTGAAGTGAAATCTGGATGACCCAGTGACTCATCAGCATGGTCATGGCAATTCATTTGGTCTGTGTGCAAGGGATGCACCAATGAATCCTCTGGCTTTGAATCAGGCAACATGGTACTAACAAGACACAAAATGGAATGCGCTTATCAGCTCCACATGGTTTCCGGATGAACCGCTTGACCACAGGCTGACCTAAACAACCCCACCAAAAGCAGTTATGCTTCACCACAGTCTTCCGCCCGCAGCTCCGATGCAGACCACCACGCCGGCTGCCGTGTCCGCGGCGATGGATGGCGAGCCAGCGGAGCTGCCTGCGCTGTACGGATGGTCGATCACCGACAACACTACCGTACGGCTCGCGCTCAACGGCACTGGTAAGGCCCAGGCAGCAGCAGTAGTCACGGCGGTGTGCTCAGCGCTAGGAGAGTCTGCACTGGTGAGGCCCAGGCAACAGCAGTAGTCACGGCGTTGTGTTCAGCGCTGGGAGAGTCTGCACTGGTAAGGCCCAGGCGGCAGCAGTAGTCACGGCGGTGTGTTCAGCGCTGGGAGAGTCTGCACTGGTAAGGCCCAGGCGGCAGCAGTAGTCACGGCGGTGTGTTCAGCGCTGGGAGAGTCTGCACTGGTGAGGCCCAGGCGGCAGCAGTAGTCACGGCGGTGTGTTCAGCGCTGGGAGGGTCTGCACTGGTGAGGCCCAGGCGGCAGCAGTAGTCACGGCGGTGTGTTCAGCGCTGGGAGAGTCTGCACTGGTGAGGCCCAGGCGGCAGCAGTAGTCACGGCGGTGTGTTCAGCGCTGGGAGAGTCTGCACTGGTAAGGCCCAGGCGGCAGCAGTAGTCACGGCGGTGTGTTCAGCGCTGGGAGGGTCTGCACTGGTAAGGCCCAGGCGGCAGCAGTAGTCACGGCGGTGTGTTCAGCGCTGGGAGAGTCTGCCCTGGTGAGGCTCAGGCGGCAGCAGTAGTCACGGCGGTGTGTTCAGCGCTGGGAGGGTCTGCACTGGTGAGGCCCAGGCGGCAGCAGTAGTCACGGCGGTGTGTTCAGCGCTGGGGGGGGGGGGGGGGGGGGTCTGCCCTGGTGAGGCCCAGGCGGCAGCAGTAGTCACGGCGGTGTGTTCAGCGCTGGGAGAGTCTGCACTGGTAAGGCCCAGGCGGCAGCAGTAGTCACGGCGGTGTGTTCAGCGCTGGGAGAGTCTGCCCTGGTGAGGCCCAGGCGGCAGCAGTAGTCACGGCGGTGTGTTCAGCGCTGGGAGAGTGTGCCCTGGTGAGGCCCAGGCGGCAGCAGTAGTCACGGCGTTGTGTTCAGCGCTGGGAGAGTCTGCACTAGCGCGATGGGCTGTGTGGAGTAGGCTATTGATAATGGGTTCCAGGCCCGGCTTTCAGTCTGCCCGGTCGGCGGATAACGGGCGCGGCCGGCCGTGTTTATGCCTAAGGGCATTGACCACGTGACCTGGCCGAGGTCGCTTGTGCGGGCCTGAGTGGCCGCAGACTGGAGGTAGGGACGGCCGGGTGTCGCCTGGAGTTGAGTTGAGAGCGACTGTAATACAAAGGACCAAGTGAACATTTACGTGATGTGGTGCCACCTTTGTGGGATGATTTTCGCCATCAGTGGGTGCATGGTTTGCAAGGTCATTTGCTGTCTCGCGGCATTGTGTTTAAGGCTCATTGTATCGTCTCTTGACCTTGAGACTTGTTTCCTCGGCTCATGAATTATTGTTTTTGGTCGGTTGTAGTGAAAAACTCCTGAGTCGTGTCCCCTGAATGAGTCGCGAATAAAATCGCGGGCTAATCCAATCTGAGGCTGAGGATGATGGCGCTGGAAGAGCTGTGATTATTTGCATGGTCCCTTCAATCCAGCTCATTATTAGGGTCGCACTCAGGTGACATGGCCACGGCGCACAGTACACAAGGAGAAGCATGTGACATATGCCTGACGCGTCCGGGGCTGGGTCGGTGGAGCAAGCGGGGCTGTTGTGAGCTCGCCTCTCTGGTCTGTGTTCGGAGCGGTCTCCTGCAGCACTGGCGGCACGCGACCGGGTGTGCTCTTCTGACCCGACCCTGCCCTCGGTCGCAGTGCTCGACCCCGACTGCTGCGGTGCCGGCTGGCAGGTGTCCAGCAGCACGTGGTGGTGGTTCGGCTGCATCATGCTCATCGTGTGCGCCCTGATGGTGGCCACCCTCAAGTATTGCAGGTGAGCGGCCGGGTGCCGCACGTGCTGGCCTGGTCCGGTCAGCCGGTCGGCCGCTCGCTCCGGCGTCGGGGAGGTGTGCTTATGACGCTGGTCACCGGTGCATGCGGCCGTAAAGAACAAGCACAACAGTACCGTGCCACTGCAGCTTCATTTTAAGCCTGTTAAACGCGACTGAATATTAAAAGCGGTGATCGACATTGACCAAAGTTCCTGAAGAGGTGAGGGCTGTGTCGTTTTTGCGATTGGGTTCTGATTGGTACATATGATTCCAGACGCGACCGTTTTTAGGCGAATCAAATCCAGCAGTTTATATGATATCATATTTGTATCCAACAGTTTATGTGGCTCAGTACCAACAATACGGTCAAGGTAGATTGATGAGCGCCGACGGAGCCCATGCAAGTTCGTTGTTTGAACGTGGTGCCATCTGTTGCCAGCAAACTGGCGAGTGATCCCGACGCCGTGGCGCGGCACAAGCAAGCCATCTACGAACTGGTCCACGGTGAGTGAACGTCGCCAGGCGGCTGCCCTCCCAGATGGCTGACCGCAGAAAGGTGCTCAGAGACAAACTGATACTCAGAAGTCCGGTGGATGTCGTTTATGTCGTTTCTGTCGACCAGCACAACTTTGGTGTGACGGGAATGATTAGATATTGTGGAGGCCGCTGCATTGCCATTTCGGGATGCAGTTGCCATTTTAGAATAGCATTTTGCTCATCTCAAAACAGTGAAGGCGATTGAGCGACCTGTACTTGATGCCACTTGCATTGCGATAGAAACGGTGTCAGATCACGCTATGGACAGTTTGTGCCCGACCTTTATGTGAGACACTTCCGTTTTGTAACGATGGTTCGATGTTTTCATTCTGCTACTAGGTCACGGCTGAAGATTGGTAAGCCTCGACCACAGTGTGCCGTGGCTCTTCTGTTTTAGTTTTGTTTGCTGACGGATCACTAATCGTAGAGTCAAATCCATTTATCTTCCTTGGCTGTCCAAAGCATGCTCAGATGCACGTTTGTGTTGTGCATGTGATTGGTTTGATTTTTGTGCGGCTTATTTTTTATTGACAATGACTGTCTAATATTACCGATTTTTCGGTTGTTGCATGACACGCACGACTAAAGCCGCTTGCCTATGTTTGGCACTGGACCATTTTTTGTCTACCAGCTAGCCAGACACAAAAGTTCGTACAATCCAGTTGACTGCTTCAATGAAGTGGGAGGAGGGGGGGGGGGGGGGGGGAGGAGGGTCACAGCAAACATGTGTCGGAGGCATGGTAGGTCGAATGGACTCAGGAGCCCTGTTGCTGTACCTTGCGACACGAACCCACGACACGAACCCACGACACGAAACCACGACACGAAACCACGACACGAACCCACGACACGAACCCACGACGCGAACCCACGACACGAACCCACGACACGGACCCACGGCAATTTCCGCATTGTGCTCGTACTGAAATTAACCGACTTTTCGCTGGAAATAGCATGGTCAGTATCTACAGGTCAATTTTTGAGAGATGCTTCCTTGAAAAATAAGTATTCATTGTTTCTTAGATAGTACGCCAAGTATTTGATGCTACGAGCGACTTAACAATACATACCAGTAAGACGCCGCGTTAAGCAGCGTAGTACGAGCGGGCCGTTAGTAGGCGAATTCTATCGTCATACATTCAGTTCCAAAACTTACCTCATGTGCTATCAATGCACTGCCACGTTTTTTCTTCTTCTAAGGTGTAGTAGGCAGATTTTGGTTTAATTTAGTAGGTGGATGTGCGCTGATGTGTTCCGTCCGTCCACAAATTAGCCTACGCTCTGATGCGGGGCGAGGGAGGGAGGGGGGGGGGGTTGACATGACCCCCCGAGGTTTTCTGAGGATATGCCATGTTGTGTTATCACGTCCAAAGTTGGGTGACCTTTGGCGCATTCATTATTTTGCGCATGCTCTTGCGCGTGTTTTTGGCTTTTTGCGCGTGTTTTGGGCGTTATTTACCTAGGAACATAAAACTTCGTCACCGACCCTAACAACCAGTATCTGGATAACGGCTGCCCGGCCGGGTGACGCATTGCCCTGACGTCACTGCCCCGGCGGGTGACGTACTGCCCAGGCGTCACTGCCCGGCCGGGTGACGCACTGCCCTGGCGTCACTGCCCCGGCCGGGTGACGCACCGCCCTGGCGTCACTGCCCCGGCCGGGTGACGCACCGCCCTGGCGTCACTGCCCGGCCGGATGACACGCTGCCGCAGCAGTGATTTCCCAACTTCCCGCCTTCCAAATTCACGGTTCCCATCATCCCAGCGTCATCCTGCGGGCCGCGGCTCGGTTTTGCCAGTAATGTGATATCTTTCGGTTGTATTAAGATGGAACGCAGGACAATTATTTCTCCTAAATGCCGGGTCGTATTCAAGAACAATCAAGATGATGGGGTGAATCGAGGGTAAAAATTGCGGGCCAGCATACACCGCCACCCTTGCCCTTGCCATTATGGAGGCCCTGCGCGCCACCCCAGCCTTATGTAAACCCCGTAGCCAGCGTGCGAGGAAGCCAGGTGCACCCAGAGAGCTTCGGCGAACTTTTCTGCTGCACCTCATTCCGCCTGGCGCTGAATCAGGTCTTTGTTAAATGTCGTGCCAACAGATGCTGAAAGCCAACAAAGCTTCGTTCGACGCTCCTTGTTATTTGAAGAAGCGGATGTTGGTGAGTGCCTCACACAGACCGATTTCCGGGGACCGTGGCTGAACGGGTCGGAGTGTTTGTTCGCCGCGCGCCTGGGCTTCTGAGGGTCTTTCGCGCGCCGCTGGCTCGTGTCAAGGACAGCTGGGGAGTCCGCGTGTTCTGCCTGTGATCTGCGGGCCCGGCCGGCGGTGCCGCGGGTGCTGCGTCGATCATCGCCGGAGATGCCGGCCCCTGCTGAAAAGCTGGTGTGATGAGTGGGCCTGCGGTGATGGGCGCAGGCTGGAGCCGTCCACTACAAACGCTCGGTTCTTCCCCGCCACGAAACCGGGGAAGGTTTCAGTGTTTATCAACGGGAGGCAGTTTTTAGAATGTCCCATGCGTAAGCCTGCTGCATGACGGAGTCTAGATGCTGGGCGGCGCGTCACTGTCGCGGTGGCATACACGCACGTATTCCGTTACCAACCGGAACCGCCGCCCGCCGGCCGGCTTATTCCGGTTGGTTGTTCCTGTGCGATCGGACTGCGGGCGATCACTTCTCGGCACCGTTGCGTCGTCTCGCTGCGCGCTTGGTTAAGGTGGGATCGACTCTGTAAATGCCACCTTTGTAGCCTGAAGACCTATCTGTCATACTGCACGCCTTACGCTATCAAAGTCCTCGCTGCAGTCTGTCACAGACTCGAAAGCAAATACCAGCCGCCCAGCGTGAAGAACGGTCTGTCAAACGGCACGCGACGCACTGCCAAAATCCTCGCTGCGATGCGTCGCCGGCTGAAGTACAGTGCGAAGAACCGGCGGCGCAAAGGGGTGAAGACCTGCAAACTGCGGCACCCACTGCGGGCGAGCGACGTGACTGTCACCAAACGCGGCGGGCTAAGAAAACACTCGTGAAGTTTCATTGTACTTGTGGGCCAAACAGGAGCTGGTGGTGCGCAACCGTGTCTAGATTGGTGGCGAAATACACATATAAACGGCAGGCAAACGGGCAGGGCTGAGTTTTCCACGTAACTCACCACATGCATGCCGAGCCTTTTTAAGAATCGCACTCCGCCTGTACGCACGAACCGCCATGTTGCGCCAAAGGTCCCACCGGGCTGTCCACGCGATCCCATCGGCGCTGCCCACGTGCCTGCGACTCCAGCCGCTGCCGCACCGGCCGGCAGCTCGGCTCGAGGCAGTTGGCGGCCGCCAGTCTGCGGCCCGCCCCCTCGGCGCCGCTGCGGCCGCCGCTCGGCGATCCCAGCCTCGGCCCGGGCTATTAGCCGGCTCAGGTGGGGTCATGTTGGCGGCTGATTGGTTCTACGCGTCAGCAGCTTTGACGCGCTGCGCCCCGCATCCCCCGCCTCGCCCCGCCCCCCCCCGCCCCTCCCGCCCCGCCCCGCCCCGCCCCGCCCCGCCCCGCTGCCGCCGTTGTCCGAAAGTGCAGCGGATGACCGCGTTGGAAACGAGTGTATGGCGAGATGGTGACGACAGCGTCTCAGTGGAAATCATTCAGTTGCTATGCTTTTTGGTTTAAAAGTGCGTATCCGTTAATGCTGTTGGGAAGTAGATCATGACGAACAGAATATTTTCTGTCAGGGCACTGGTTGTAGGTTGGACACAGTTATCCAGTGATTGACGGCAGTCGTAGAGTCTTGCGTGGTTGAGTTTACCGTTATTTCATGTGCCATGAGTTGTCATGCCGCCATCTCAAGCATCACAAGTCGTCATGAAATTTGCACATGCATCGGGCCACTTTGGCATATCAGTCAGCTCTCAGCGAATAATGGGCACAGCGCCGTTTAGACTGCGCTGTTGTCTCGTCCCATCACTTCAGTTGGAAGGCCAATCGTCGGGCGTGCGAGGGTGATTAATCACCTGTCCCGGGCGGGAACGGGCAGGACTTTTGCGGCCCAGGGCCGGCAGTAGTAAGGGTAGGAAAGGTGTGTCGCCTCCTTTTCCGTGTTCTCTTCCCACACCCTACCCACCTGGTGATGGCGAACACGTCAAACTCCTGCCGCTAACTTTCCTTCCATCCACCAGCCTACAGGCCAGTGATATTAGAGGCTGAAGGTAATTTGTCTACTCTCGATATTAATCTGACATCAAATTGCTGATTGTAAATTAGTCATCTAATTGCAATGCTGGCGGATGTTATGACGCAGTTAGTCGCAAAGCAGAAATGAAGGTCGTGGTAGAAATATCACACCACAGGTGTAGGCTCCAGCTTGGCTCGCCCATATCACATCAGTGAGCACAAGAAAATTTGTTTCCCTGATGTAAAGCCGTTTGAAGAAAAAAAGTAAACTAAAGGGCATCTCTGATGTTAGTGACCATCATAGCGCACGTGTCAGTCTACTACTGTCGGTTGTTACAGAGGCTTCTCATGTGTAAACAACGTGTACCTAGTTTCGCGTGTTGAAGTTGTGTATGCTATGCCTGCGTGGCGCGGGTGTGCTGGCCAGCATACAATCTTCACTGCTGGCTGAGCCGAGGCAGCTGGCGCCTATCAGATGGGCCTGCGCTGTGCGCCGACGGGGCGGACGAGAGAGCGCGTGCCGCCAGCAATGAGCCGCACAGCGTGAGGCGCCGGAGTCCCGCTGGGGCAGCGGGTCTCCGCTTCAGATCAGAGCCGCGGCGGCCGGAGACAATCTAGATCGGCAGTTGATGAGGTGACGCTTCAGAGCCGTGGCGGCCGGAGACAATCTAGGTCGGCAGTTGATGAGGTGGCGCTTCAGAGCCGCGGCGGCCGGAGACAATCTAGGCCGGCAGTTGATGAGGTGGCGCTTCAGAGCCGCGGCGGCCGGAGACGATCTAGGCCGGCAGTTGATGAGGTGGCGCTTCAGAGCCGCCGCGGCCGGAGACAATCTAGATCGGCAGTTGATGAGGTGACGCTTCAGAGCCGCGGCGGCCGGAGACAATCAAGGCCGGCAGTTGATGAGGTGACGCTTCAGAGCCGCGGCGGCCGGAGACAATCTAGGCCGGCAGTTAATGAGGTGACGCTTCAGAGCCGCAGCGGCCGGAGACAATCTAGATCGGCAGTTGATGAGGTGACGCTTCAGAGCCGCGGCGGCCGGAGACAGTCTAGGCCGGCAGTTGATGAGGTGGATGAGGCTTCTGTACTGCATGGGACGGTCGTTCTATTGATCAAAGCGTTTTCTGGGAAATGGACCAACGTGGTGAACCAGTGAACCAGAACTATTAACCAGTGTGCTGATGAACACGCTTCCTTGTATA